CTAGATTACGGCCAAATTTAGTAAACTATATGCTTTTTCTAAAAAGAAATATAGAACATGTTGATAATATTTTTTCTCCAGTTAATTAGAATCATTGGTTCGGGTTAAATTCAAAAAGAAAATTACTTCATTTCACTACTGGTGATTATCACCAGTGATTTATATAATTAAAATCAAATTTTTATCAAAGCAAAAATCAATTTTTTTAATATTTAAGGTAAGGTTTAAAAGCTTGAATTAGAAAAAAGAAAGAGTTATACTTAGAATTTTATAGAGAATTTTTTTTATTAGAACCCAAAGCCGTTTTGTTAATAAAATTTTATATTATATTATATACTGGTGATGATTACCAGTGGTGATACTGTAAATAGCAAATCTCATTCAAAAAAAGAAATAACTATAACAGAAAAACTTTTAACCATTGCAGGGTAACACCTAGTAATTACTTTAATAAGTAACTTTTGACTATAAATGGTTAAAACCTTTTGCTCATCAAACATTCTGACTACCTTTTATTTAAGAAGTTTATTGTAAATGTTACCATTTTTATATTCTGACTCATCTGTATCCCGAACAGTAATTACTTCTATCTGCTCTTCAATTAGTAAAACATAGTGCTGATGGTTGGCGATTTTTTTAAAAAATTCATTAGTAATTGCTCTTTTTGTTATACTAAGTATTAAATCTTTTTTTGATAATATATGACAAAGCATCTTTTTAAAATAATACAGTCAGACCTCCCTAAATACATAGTTGATGAACCTATATAAAAAAAAATCATGCATTTAGAAAAGTATTACATTTAGGAAGATAAAAATCTATAAACATATATGAGTTAGGGCAAACAAGGTTATGTACTTAGAGAGGTTTTGCATAAACTATGCATTTAGAGGAATTGCATTTGGGAAAGTATATTACACGAAATAAAAAAAAACAAATAATAATAATAAACTAAATAGTTAATTTTATATACTAGTCAAAATTAAAAATTCGACATGTCGAATGGCTCAATTCGAATCTCATTCAACATGTCTTTCGACTTGTCATTCGAAACATTACATAATTTTGCAAGTTGAAAGACATGTTGAATGGGATTCGAATTGAGCCATTCGACATGTCAAATTTTTTAATTTTGCCTAGTGATAGGGTTATAAAAAGGCAATTTTCAAGGTAGATTTCTTGATTCTTTTATTTAAAATGTGCTTTTAAATTAGGATTTTAATAATAACTACTCATTTTATAAACTAACTTATGATAATTTTTATTTATTATTGTTACTCTAAAGGCATCATATGATTACCAATATATAAACTTTTCAAAGGAATAATTACTGACAAGTGGATACCGTGCTCCTCAAAAGAATAATCAAGAATCAGATTTTTACACAAAGGGATCACACAATTGACCTTTTGGTGTTTGATATATTTATTTTATTTATTATTATATTCATTTACATTATAAGCAGATATTTTTAACACTTTCTCAATTTATTCAAACATTAGAACGTGTTGATTTTTCATGCTATTATATTGTGTTTACGTATTTTAAGCATTTATATGAAGCTGTACATCCGATATTCTTAGGAAAAATGAAAAAAATTATTGTCAAAAGTTAACGTAATGTCAGTTGATCTCTTTAATTTTGGTCGAGTACTTTTGTTTCAATTTAGAGTAAAAGATCTACGCCACTTAATCTTTTTTATGTTCCACGAGTTAATAAAATATGGACATATATTCAATTAATACGTTTGACCATTTTCCTATGCCTTTCATTATGACTTTAATTTTTTTTTTGGTAGTTTAATGACTTTAATTTTTTTTGTTAATTGGCAGCTTTAATTTATAATTTTTTATATGCAAGGTTCAATGGCTATCAGCATTCCATTAAGTTTCGAAATTTTCTATTCCTGTTTGGTAACTGATAATTCGCAAGAGAGACTTGTTATTTTAGAAGTCGAGATTTTAAAGCTTCTTCAACTTACTTTCATTTGGCATTTCCAATAAGATGTAAGTTTATATGCGAATGTATTTAGTCAGTATGAAGACTTTCATCACAAGCTTTGATACAATCAGACCTCTCCAAGCGCACCTACTTGGGACCATAATATAAAAAAAAAAAAAAAAAGAAACAAAAAGTGCACTTGAAAAGGATGTGCATTTAGGGAGATTAAAATTTCCAATTTTTATATTATTTGGGACCAAGCAGATGTGTACAATTAAAGAGGTTTTTCATATAGTGTGTATTTAGGGTGATGTATTTAAGAAGGTCTAACTGTATTTTATTCATTGTATATCTAGGCTTGTGCTATGTGTCGCTTATTCTTTTTTTGGGGTGGTTCTTGTTCTATTCTAAAAATTTATCTATTCTCGCCATCATTATATTATTATCAAAAATTGGTTGAAAAGGATGATCATAAATCATTTATTTATTGTTAAAATCTGTTGATATGAGAAATTCTCATACTTTGTAAATTTTTGGGAAATTGGGTTTGATTAAGACAAACATAAGACATTTCTTTTATTAAAATGAATGAAATGTTTTTTATGGAATAAATAAACATAATTTTAGTAGTAATATCAATATCTTTTTTATTGTTGTATTTATTTCTTAATCTTTTTTTTTTATTACATGATTATATAGAGATTGGTCCTGTCAGGAAAATCTTTAGCCGATTATCCGTATATTTGGATGCTTAAATTATTTCTAATAAATAATTATTTTGACAAATTAGTCTTGGTGAAATTGAATTTCATAATTGCCTATTATTTATGAGCTCATATAAAAAATATGGCAATAGCAAAATTTTTGACGAAATTGCATGTAGTTTATCTGAGTATATCAAAATTTATGTCTCTAAAGCTGAAAAATTTATTAATTTAAATAAAGTATCCGTTAAAGATTATATTATTTGCTTGTTATACATATTACAGCTAAGGATGGTTAGGTCCCAGTTAGTCCTGATAGGTTTAGGTAAATTAATAATTTTTATATGGATTTTTTATATTTTAGTTCTTAATTAAAGTTATTAATTATAGAATTATGAATAATTTTACTTATAAGCATAAAGCAAAAAAACTTTCTTTAAGGTTTATAAATTTTTTAAAATATTAATTTAGAACCTAGGTTCTGGGACCTAGGTTCTAAATTAATATTTTAAAAATTTTATGAACTTTAAAGAAAGTTTTTTACTTTATGCTTATAAGTAAAATTATTCATAATTTTATAATTAATAACTTTAATTAAGAACTAAAATATAAAAAATCTATATAAAAATTATTAATTTACTTAGAACCTAACTGGACCTAACCATCTCTAATTACAGCTGTTTTTATTCTAGCTGGGACATCTAATTAAAAATTAGACTATCCGATTCGATAAGTTTTTGATTTCGATAAGTTTTTGGTTTCAACATAGTTATACCGAATCAAAGTTTGATTTTTAATCAGGTGTTCCAGTTAGAATGAAAACAGTTGTAATTCAATATCTGCATATTTTATTGGCCAAAGATTGTAAAGTATCTGAAGCAAAGACTGAATCCATATATTTCTTTGCCAATTCTACATAACATTTAGATGTTCCGAAAATATCTGATGCAAGTTTAGTATTAAAATTACATCCATCAAAAGGTCTTTTACAGCTTGTTATTTCTGTTATAATAACTCCAAATCCATAAATATCTGCTATCCCAAAACATGAAACCCAGAAGATGTCAATGACAATTGAACTAAAGAAACCCCAGGCCTGCACCCGAAATATATCACTCTATTTAACTCTAAATGTAACATACCTGTTATTAAATAGTCTAATGTTCTAACTATGATAAAACTGTTCTAACGGTCTAACCGTTATAAAAATATTCTAATAGTCTAACTGTTCTAACAGTCTAGCCGTTATAAAAATATTCTAACAGTCTTAATTGTTCTAACGGTCTAATGGTCTAACCGTTATAAAAATATTC